CTGAAACAGCCAATCACAGACCACAACTGGTTCTAACGGCCAATCACAGCGCAGAACTGTTTCTAACGGCCAATCACAGCGCAGGCTTTGCGCAGCGGTGTCAGATTTTACCTGCAGCTGCAGGTTCTCCTGCTGCTGCTCCTGCTGTTGCAGCAGCAGCTGTTGGAGCTGAGCGTGGAGAAGCTCGGTCTGCGTCTTTGTGTCGTTCTTCAGCTCGGTGAACCGTCTTTGTTCTTCCTCCAGACTGGCCCTCAGAGCCTGGATCTCCTGGTTCTGCACGCTGAGCTGCGCCTTCTGCCACCAAACAACCAAGGAAACGTCAGCGGAGGAAAGGGAAGACGGGCCACAATGGAGGGAAAGGCCGGGGAAGCAGGGCTGTTACCGTAGCAACCGTCTGCTCCTCCAGCGCTGTGGCATTGATGACGCGGCGCAGCAGACGTCGGTTCCTGACGGCGTGCTGCTGCCTTTTGAAGCGTTCGTAGAGAAGCTGGCTGTGAACCAGCAGCAGCTGACTCCTCAGGGCCTGTAGCTCCTCCCCCTGGGTGGGGCCTAACAGCACAGAGAAGAGGAAAGCATCATCTGACTTCAAACGGTTTAAATACAGGAAGAGGAGCTGAACTGCGGCGCCACGGTGAGCTGAGCCGCAGGAAGAGATCAGGACTGTAGCTCCATCTAAGCTAACAGCGTTCATCCTTCTATAGACGACAGGAAGCTGATCCCTGCATGGCGCTGAGGTCCAACGCTCTGGAGATCCAGCCCATCCCATCGGTTCCGGTCATCTCCACCCAGCAGGCCTCAACCAGGGGAAAGCTTCTGGTATTAGGGGACACCTTCAAAGGGCCGGGTCCCTCTGAATAATCAAACCGAGCTTCTGGAGGCCTCATGTTCACACCTCCATCCACAGCTGTTTGTGTTTCTGCTGATTTCCAGGAGGCCTCAGTCCTCAGCAGGCTGAATGCAACAAGGCAAGCAAAACAATGGCCTTAGGGACCCGAGCTGCCCGGGGGCTCCCAGACAGGGGCCCATCTGGTTATAAACTGCATCTAATGACAAACGGTGTAGAGACGAGTTTTTGCAACGCCAAACATCCAAATAAAGTTCGATTAAGCCCCTACCACGGCCCTGGGGTCACGTTCCTGTACGCAGGCAATAAAAGGTCATGGAAGCTTTTTTTTCCCTTGGCCTATTTGTGAGATAAAATATTTTGAATGTGCCCTTTCTCTTTCTAAATAGGGGTAATTGTTTAGAAGTCTGTACCAGTCTGCATGCTGGAGTTAAATTATGGAGTTAAGATTGGAGATGACAGAAAGCAGACGCCTCCCGACTCTAGACAAGGTGAAGGGAGGGTCAGGAGAGATAAGGATGAGTCACACAGCGTCCTTCATGCCGTGAATGGAAGACCTGTTCTGAAGGTTTATCTGGCTACAATGGATGTCCTTGATGAATTGAAGTGTGTGAGAAAGTTCTTTATGCATGGGGTGGGGTAGTTCCAAGGGAGAGTGTTCGATTGGGATTTTGTAAGGTTTAAAAGTGAGCTTTGCTCAGTCAGAGATCTATCTCCCCATCCAAGGACATTAAATAAATATTTTTACAAGAATTCATCTCAGCCTCAGCTTCCTAACTCCAAGAGGTTCAATGTCCAAACATGTTTATTGTTCTCGATGATTTATTTTCCTATTTAAGCCAGAAATGACTGAGTTCAAACCTTCTCCTTTCTGCTGCCTCTCTTGCTCTGGTAAAAACTAGTGTTGCACCGATACCAGTATCGGGGGCGGGGCCACTGGTATCTGCTGGTACTAAAATGGTGGTATCGGTATTGGCGAGTACCAACCAATAGGGCACTGATACCATTTTCAGAGCTAAAAGTTTCTTCAACTATTGTCACCCATTCCAGGTAGGCAATAAAAAGTTCTACTGGATTCACTTTGTTTTAGCCTTTATCCTGCTTCACAAAGGTAGGCAGCAGCTTGACATGAAGCCATGATGGTGATTATTTTACATCCATGTAGTCTGCAGTTCTTCATATAAACACACATCAATGTCAAACAGTATGAGCTGATACTGCACAGCCAGGTATCGGGGCCAAAACATGGCATCGGCGCACTAGTTAAAGCTATAGGCCCCAAACCCAAATGCCTGCTGGTTCCTTCCCAGGCCCACATTACTTCCTGTCTTACCTCAGAACAAAACATTTATTAGATAAATAATAAAACAAAAGATGAATAGAATCAACAATTATTAACCTGCAAATTAACTCTGTAAATAATACAAAACATTTAAAATATAGTAATAAATTAACACAGTTCAAATGGATAAAGAAATAAAGAATAAATAGCTCCAACAAACAGTCTGAGCTCCAATTTGCACGTTTTCCGTGCATGAAATAAAATCCAACATAAAATGTAAATCATTTAGACCATCACGTTTTCTGGACACAAAGTTTGTGCCATGCCACATTAAATAAAGTTATAATAATAACAATGAAAAGGGAATCATTGTTTTATTTAGTTTAAGGCGCTTAAAGCATCTCATCCTGCTCTATCTGACCGCCTTTAGTCATGTACAAAAACAAAATTTAATTATTAGCTTTTGGTGTTTTTTGAAGCGTATGGAGATCTGACCTTAAATCGTTTTTTTTGTACATGACTAAAGGGATAGACGCCAGGTGAGGTAGTTAAAAGTCTGTTTTTCGTACCAAACTAAAGGGTCTGCATGCATACTGACTAAAGGTTTGCTGATCTGCCAGAACAGAGGGACGGATCCGGTAGCAACGATGGAGGCTTCATGCTGTGTTCACAGCAAACGCAATCTGGGCGGCAAAAACACCCAAATTTAGACACTGTTCCCAAAGCTTTATCACTCTGGTGGTTTATCTGCTCTGTTCCGTCGCTTCAAGCTAGAGGCTTTATTTTCTTTATAAGTTGGAAAATAGTTTGAACAGTTTTAAATTAGAAATTCCACCTCCAGACATCCTCTGTTCATCAGGATTATAATCCCACTATAATCTGCAGTTGTTGTTGGGAGCTCCAGACCTCCAACAAACCGCCAGGAAGTGAATAGAAAGTTTTTAAGGTTTGTGGTAAAAACTGCATAAACCAGAATAACAATCCAATATTTCTCATCAGCAGGTTTTAACATTTCTAGTTAATTTGGGTTTTTATAAACTGTTTTTTCGTAGTTCATAAAAATGTTTTAGTGCAGCAATAATGATCAAAGCTGCTCTCTGTTCCTTCTACAGAACAATCCATTCTTCCTGCTTTATTTTAACCTTGGGAGTTTAACTCCTTAATATTTATCTATTTTTTATAGGCATAATGTCTGCAGAAGTGATGACAGCTTGCAGGTAGAGTCTGTCTCCCCCCAAAAAACTCCTGGATCAGCTGTTCTGATTGGTTGACGCTCCGCGGACCTCTCCCTGCCGTCCATCATAGACTTTACATGGAAACCGGACGCTCTGTCACCCAGAATGCATTTGGTGTGAACACACCTTTAGTCCTCAGCACCATCTAGTGGTCGTTAGTGGAACTTCAAAGCTCAGCAGCGCCACCTGCTGCCCTGCCTGGGAAAACTGGTGTAAAGCCCCTGTACACCTTGGTGACGTCCCAGAATCTCTTCAAATGTTGGAATACACTGAAATTTCTGTGGATCTTTTCCTTTTGGAGTCCAGAACTAATCAACAACAGCCTAACTAATCTCAGCCTACTTCAGTGTATTTCAGTGAGTCTCAGCGTGTTTCAGTGAGTCTCAGCGTGTTTCAGCGTGTCTCAGCGTGTTTCAG